CCACGCCCAGCTAATTTTTTTGTATTTTTAGTAGAGACGGGGTTTCACCGTGTTAGCCAGGATGGTCTCGATCTTCTGACCTTGTGATCTGCCCGCCTCGGCCTCCCAAAGTGCTGGGATTACAGGTGTGAGCCACCGCGCCGGGCAAATTTTTTTATTTTTAGTAGAGACGGGCTGTGCTCGGTGTCGGGTGAAGCTACACAAGCGTGAGGCTGAGCTGAGCACCGCCCCCCGCCTCTCCTGCTGCACCCACCTGGAACTGGGCGCTGATGCTTGGAGCCGCCCCCCACCTCTCCTGCTGCACCCACCTGGAACTGGGCGCTGATGCTTGGCACCGCCGCCTGCCTCTCCTGCTGTACCCACCTGGAACTGGGCGCTGATGCTTGGCGCCGCCCCCCGCCTCTCCTGCTGCACCCACCTGGAACTGGGCACTGATGCTCGGTGGCTTTTTCTTCTTGTGCAGGTGCAGCAGGGACTTGGTGGTGCGGTCGTGCAGGGTCATGCTGATGATGAGTTTCAGGGACTTGGAGTCCAGCAGGTTCTAGGACAGACACATGGGGTCCGGCCTGCCCTCCCACAGCCCACACGGGCATGGGAAGGCGTCACAGCGTCCCCAGAGCCAGGGCAGAACAGCATCCCCGCAGCGAGTGCCCAGGCGGCAGCTCTTAGGTTTGGTCTTGGGACCACGCTGTTGGAGAGGGCCCAGTGGAATGAGGTGGGCTGCACCTTGCACACAGCGCTGGTTCCAGCAGGGCTGATGGCAGCCTCTTTCACCGCCTGAGTGGCTGCCCCATTTCCCCTTCCTCTGGGTTAGAGAGGAAGCCAGTGCTACTGAACCTGGCCGACCCTCTCCTCTGCACAGCTCCTACAGTTTACGTTACTTGAGGCAAGAAGGGCCAGGTCTTTTCTGTGCCATCCGCATGAGCTCATCGGACAGGCCACCCTCATGTGTCAGCCAGTTCAATCAGCTGACAAGAGGAATTAGCCCTCTCCCATCTGCTAACTAGACTGCAAGGCTAGTCTTACTCTTTTTGCCAATTTCCTAAATTGCTGCACTTGTACGTGGAAACGAGACAGAGCGCTTGGGAGGTGCTCTGTCCCATCTGGAAGTGGCCCTGTAGCCAGGGACTGAAGATGGGGCTGTTAAACGGAAGGGTCCCATTACCTTGGGGCAGGATGAGCTCCATGGTGCTATGAACCCACTAGAGCTCCCCGTGGGACCAGGCTGAGGCCAGACTTCAGCTGCGCTTATGCCCCTGGCTTCCTCCCTCACCCCTTCTCTCTGCTTTCTCCTGTAAACCCCCCTCCATAAGCCGCTGTGTGTGCAAATATCCCCATCTCAGACCCTGCTTCTGGGAAACCCATAAAGAGCCAGCTCCAAATCATCTCAACACAAGAACATTTTTTTTCTTGGAGGGAGGGGGAGATAGTGGGAAGAAGGAGGTAATGAAGCTGCAGAAGTGAAAGCTCTCAAGACGGGCAGAGAAGCATATCTTGGAACGTGTCGCGCGGGGTGTGTGTTATTTTTTTACCTTTGGAATGATCTGCTTTTGTTTGATACCTTTACTTTTCCTGTCAAAATATTAAAAATGGTTTTGTGAACAAAAGGAACACAGCGTCGGGATTTGGGTTAGTTCAGCAAGCCACGCCTGGCGGGTTAGACTGAGACAGAGAGAGACGGGAGAGAGCGAGAAGGCGCAAGTGCAACAAGGCCGCCGCCACCTCTCCACACTGCACACCATGGCGTGCCTCAGCCACTGTCTGTGGACACCAGTTTCCCTGGGATGGCGCTAGCCGGACTCTGCTGGTGGCTGCCCCAAGGCTGAGAAAAGCATTTGGTCTGGGGGCCATTCGGATGTCTGAGAAGTAGGAGGGGCTGGCTAGGAATCTACAGGGTGGGACGTGCATCCAACGGAGCTCACTATGGAGGAACTGACATATCCCCAAATCACAGCAGGATGCCCTAAGTGGGGCAGAGGAAGCCTGAGCAGTCCTGGTGGAGACCAGGTGACCAGGCTGTCTTTGCCATGCGCTGGTAGACACCAAACAGGCCCAGACGCCCTTCTGGAACCCTCTGCTGGCAGGGCAGGGACTTGCCTTGCAAAATAACCAAAATTGGGCCTGGGTGGGAGCTCCTTTCAGGATCATGCTGGTGGGAAAGAAGAAAACCAAAACTGGCCAGGCGTGGTGGCTCACGCCTGTAATCCCAGCACTTTGGGGGGCTGAGGTGGGTGGATCACTTGAGGTCAGGAGTTCAAGACCAGCCTGGCCAACATGGTGAAACCCTGTCTCTACCAAAAATACAAAAATTAGCCAGGTGTGGTGGTGGGCGCCTGTAATCCCAGCTACTCAAGAGGCTGAGGCGGGAGAATCGCTTAAACCCAGGAGACAAAGGTTGCAGTGAGCCGAGATCATGCCACAGCACTCCAGCCTGGGTGACAGAGCAAGACTCTGTCTCAAAACCCCCCGCAAAACCCAAAGCTGCTCTTTTGGCCAAGGTAAGGAAGCGGGCAGCTCCTGTGTTCTCAGACACCTTATGAAATCTTGCAGACCAAGGGGAAAATAAATAAATAAGTAAATATATTTATTTATTCAAAAGGCCTGGTGCTTTTGAATAAGGAGATGATAGCTTGCAGATCTGTGAGATGCCTAGCCGTTCGCAGTTGCATTCAGTTTCACCTGAATCCCTGTGGGGTAAAATAAGGCGTAACAAGAACAAAAGTTTGAGGCTGAGGTGGGCGGATCACTCGAGGTCAGGAGTTCGAGACCAGTCTGGCCAACATGGTGAAATCCCATCTCTACTAAAAACACAAAAAAATTAGCCAGGTGTGGTGGTGCACACCTGTAATCTCAGCTACTTGGGAGGCTGAGGCAGGAGAATTGCTTGAACCCGGGAGGTGGAGGTTGCAATAAGCCGAGATTGAGCTACTACACGCCAGCCTGGGCGACAGTGAGACTCTGCCTCAAAAAAAAAAAAAAAAAAAAAGGAACAAAAGTTTGAAACAGGCTCCTGCTGGGTACAGTGGCTCATGCCTGTAATCCCAGTGCTTTGGGAGGCTGAGGCAGGAGGATCGCTTGATCCCAGGAGTTTGAGACCAGCCTGGCAGCCTGGGCTATAACATAGCAAGATTCCACCTCTACAAACAGTAAAATTAGACAGGTGTGGTAATGCACGCCTGTATTTCCAGCTACACTGGAGGTTGAGGCAGGAGAATCGCTTGAGCCCAGGAGGTCGAAGCTGCCGTGAGCGGTGATTGTGTCACTGCTGTACTCTAGCCCGGGCAACAGAATGAGACCCCCATCTCTTAAAAAAGAAAAAAAAAAAGGGCCAGGGACGGTGGCTCATGCCTGTAATCCCAGCACTTTGGAAGGACGAGACAGGCAGATCACCTGAGGTCAGGAGTTCAAGACCAGCCTGGCCAACATGGTGAAGCCCTGTCTCTACTAAAAATACAAAAAATTAGCCAGGTGTGGTGGCAGGTGTCAGTAATCCCAGGTACTTGGGAGGCTGAGGTGGGAGAATCGCTTGAACCTGGGAGGCAGAGGGTGCAGTGCGCTGAGATCGTACCCCATTGCACTCCAGCCTGGGCAACAAGAGTGAAACTCCGTCTCAAAAAAAAAAAAAAAAAAAAACTGGCTTCCATTGGCTCCCATGCAGGTGCAAGCTTTGCTCTCAGCCAGCCCACACCCCAACGGCCACTAAAAGGCGGGATGTGGTGACCGCAGGTGGATGTCCTGTCAGCTGAGGCTGCTGCCTGCCTGGTGCTGGGTCAACATAATGGAAACATGAGAGTCATTACCCCATTTGGAGGCCGAAAGCATAGAATACTCAGGTCCCACAGTGTGCTAACGGTTGGGATCCCAACCCAGTTTATGCACCTTCTGGGCTCTCTCGACTGGCTTATGTGGCCACCTGCAGACAGCAGGGCCATCCTCTCAGGAAATTGCATGCCCTGCTGCAGACGGCTTCTCTGCAAACTCACAGTGGCAAAGGCGGGAGCAAGCTTTGCTCTGCAAGCCAGACAGGCACGGGGAGGAGACGGAGGATGGCACGTTTGCGGGTGGAAAATTAGATGCCTCGAGGAAGGAGCGCTCCTGGGAAGCTGCCCCGTGTGTTGGGAAGCTGGCCGTGCCTGGGCCACAGTGCAGACAGCGGCCAGGGGTGTTATTGATTGGCATTTAGTGATGGCTGGGGGGTGAGCTACCAGACAGCATTGTGATTTTAGTGGCCGATGCAAATTAGGAAGACTGCAGGCCCCGCCGGGGTCGTGGGAGTAGGGGGAGGCGGTTGTTGCACTTGTAAGCAGGGTCTTGCTGGGGGACTCACAGGATGAAGGCGCGGGGTTTCTGGAGCCGACTGAGGGACTGGAGAAGCCTACGGGGGTCCTCGCCCTGCCAGGGCAATCCTTTGATGCTCTTGATCATTTGGTTATGCAAATCGCTGAGGGGAGGGGTGGGGAGGGCGCAGTGACAGAAAGAAGATGGAGTTAGAAGCATGCCTGCCACCTTGGGGTTCCCAGAGCCATTGGGACCGTCCCCAGGCCACTGAAGCTAAAACATGCAGCTGGGGAAAGACACTGAGCTCAATGCTGCCCCTCTCTCTTCTGCCAGAAAGGGGGACTGGGTCAGCCTCCCCAAGACCTGCAGTGGGGTAGGGCTTTGAGGCAAATTGGACTTGGCCACACGGATCATTGATCCTTTTCAATATATCATTTCCAGCTGGGCGCCGTGGCTCACGCCTATAATCCCATCACTTTGTGAGGCTGAGATGGGTGGATCACCTGAGGTCAGGAGTTCGAGACCAGCCTGGGCAACATGGCGAAACCCTGTCTCTGCTAAAAATACAAAAAGTTAGCGGGGCATGGTGGAGGGCACCTGTAATCCCAGCTACGTGGGAGGCTGAGGCAGGAGAATTACTTGAACCCAGGAGGCAGAGGTTGCAGTGAGCTGAGATAGCGCCATTGCACTCCAGCCTGGGAGACAGAGCAACACTCTGTCTTTAAAAAAAAAAGAAAAAAAAAAATTATTTCCATTTGATCATTCCACTTCATTGGATCCTTTTCATCTGGATCACTGAGAAAGTTCTCATATTTAAGAGGCTTTGGGGATATTTATTTACTTGTTGAGACGGAGTCTTGCTCTTTCTCCCAGGCTGGAGCGCAATGGTGTGATCTCAGCTCACTGCAACCCTACCTTCTGGGTTCAAGTGATTCTCCTGCCTCAGCCTCCTAAATAGCTAGGATTACAGGTGCGCACCACCATGCCCGGCTAATTTTTGTATTTTTAGTAGAAATGGGGTTTCATCATTTTGGTCAGGGAGGTCTTGAACTCCTAACCTTGTGATCTGCCCACCTCAGCCTTCCAAAGTGCTGGGATAACAGGTGTGAGCCACTGCATCCAGCCGGGGATATTTATTTAGTTTTAAATTTATTTTTATTTTATTTTATTGAGACAGAGTCTCGCTCTGTTGCCCAGGCTGGAGTGCAGTGGTGCGATCTCAGCTCACTGCAACCTCCACTTTTTGGGTTCAAGTGATTCTCCTGTCTCAGCCTCCTGAGTAGCTGGGATTACAGACATGCATCACCCTGCCCAGCCTATTTATTTTTAAAATTCCAAGACAGGCTGGGCATGGCTCATACCTGTAATCCCAGCACTTTCGGAGGCTGAGCGGGGCAGATCACTTGAGGTAGGGAGTTCAAGACCAGCCTGGCCAACATGGTGAAACCCTGTC